CAGATCAGTTACGGTGGCCATCGCAAAAACTCAACCTTGCAGAGACGAGTTAGTTTTCAAGTCATCTGTCGCCACAGGGACTGGAAAATTTCACGAGAAAACTTAACCACTCATAATCAATCCTTGTGTTACTTCACTGGCCACAAGCAAGAGGGACCAAGCAATTTAACGGAAAAAAACAGCCAGTCAGAGGAGAGGAGCCAGTGAAGCGCAAAGAAAGAGAGGGCGACCCCGGTCATACGATCCGGAAACTTACCAATTAAATTCGAGCATGCAAACTCCAACTATCACGGTTTTTTCAAGTCATTTCTGAACCAGTTTCCAATTATTGTTTACTAAGATTCAGTTGACCAATCAGTCATGAGCTCACTTTTGAATGAGTCTGCTCTGTTAGACAGCAACGGCGGTCAGAGCTAACCTGTTAAGTTTTGTCGAAAATTTTCAACCAAATCAAAACGCCGATACCCCACTAGCTAGGATCGTAAAAATGGAACCTACAAACCCAACAAATTGCCACCCAACCCCTCGCCATACTCAGCAAAAAGCAGACAAATAATAAGCCCAATTTTTTTTGATCCGGAATATTTGCCGTTTGGAAAAAACTGGTCCTGATCAGATCCGAACACAGGAACTTTGCCGTCCCAGGCGTATTCGTTATCATGAGACTAACTGTACAAGAGACAACTGTGACCACCAGACTTACTGTGAACTCACTGTGAAGCAAGGTACATCAGGAGTCCAATGAGTCCTTTGGACAAAGTTGTTTACGGGAAAAAAAAGTCTACTACCCGATTGTTATACCCTTGCTTATCGCAAGGGTAATAATCAAATAATGTGAAAAACCATTTTTCCTAAGAGCCCATACATATTGTAGTTTATTACGCTACTTGAGGAAAAATTATTGCGCCATTTTTGCAGAGAAGGGAAGGGCGGTTGAAAATATCTAAAACTTGGATTCTTTCAGTATTTGAATTTTAAACTAAAACATTTAACTTATCCTAAATGAATCTTGGCATGGTGATCAGTCTAAGTGTTGCGAACAGCTTTATTCTTCATACTTAAGATCGTAACATCACGCATTTAGCCACTATAACAAGTAATGTAACTCTGAAAAACGTCCATGCGTGGGGCTGGCAGAAAAGAGCCAAAACTTGGGTTTAAAATGAACACTGAGATCCCAGTTTTGAACAAATCATATAAATAAAACTGACGCAAATTCAGCTTTTTTGCTTTCTAAAATGCTATTTTAGGGGTCATTTTGGACAAAATGTACTTAGAATTTTTCTTACAAAATTTACTTACAGTATTCTTCATTTGCATAAAAAGTTACATGGGAGAGAATATTTTTTGAATGAGAGGAGTAAAAAAGTTGATTATGCGATGTTAAACATTTGAGATGAGAAAATTGTGTGGTTGGGTGTGACAAAATTCCTCAAATTGATTTTTTCGTATTATTCAACATCGATGGAAAAAACTTATTACAATAGAAAAAATTGGCTTTTTCAGACCCGTAGTAATACAACGGGTAACTGCTTCTAATCAAAAACTGAGATTTTCAGAGTGGGTTGTTTAGATCATTTTCTGTCCATCGAACAAAATTTTTTGTTAAAATTCGATGAAAATGTTGTCAGTCAGTATGGAGAGAAAAAACGTAAACTTGCGTTAAATTTTTTCCTCTAGTGTAAATAAAAATATATAATCCTAAATATACGTGTTTTGCCGATGTGTTCAAATTTAGCCAAGCAACGCAGAAACAGAGACGACTTCTGCTTTTTATCTTTCTAAATTTCACAAATTTGTGCGTTACTTCATCAAATGTCGGCCACCAAAGCCGCAACAAAATGAACTTGTTTTTAGGTGGCTACTTTTGCCATCTTGTGCGCCGTATATTTCTATCAATTTCTGAGATGACCGCTCGACTAGCATAAAGCTCTGTAAGCAAAAAATTTGAAAACGTAAAAATGTATCGACTAGTATAATTTTGATAGCTTAATTTCTCAGAAATTCAAAATAACAACTAAAATGTGTTCCAATTGAAACTTGTATTGCTGGGAGTACAAAAAAGAGCAATTGATAAATAGGGCAGAAAACAAGCACCTGAAATTCCTTAACAAATAAGTCGTGATCAGCCACACCCAGACCTGTAATGGCTTCAACCGAACACTGATCTCCGCGCAAAATTCGAAATGTGTATAAAACTGTGATCAAAGATATTTTGTTCACAATTTTTAGTTGTTCACCATACCAAATTTCGTTGCATTAGGACAATGTTAAAATAGTTTTTTTTTGGAAAATCAAATTCTAATATGGGATAGTGGAAAAGAGCCAGCTCTTTTCCAGCAGTCTCCTCGTAGTAAAAAAAACATAGCCCAGAACAGTTTTGTCTAATGGTGAGACGAAGTTAGGGCTATAACTTTATATAGGTATGGGGCTGTAATAATAACACAGAGGCAAAGCGAAGCATGGCAAACGACTATACCGACAATAAGTTTTCAAAATGAACATTTATACCACAACCGACCTGAATTATTTGAAACTCAATTATTTTAAGCTGATGAATAAGTTTGCAATTCAACAAATTAAAAAGAGATGACTAAGCCAACAAATATAAGTCGAAACCTTGAAGGCAGAATTCTCAGCTTTTGAGCGAAAAAAAATAAGAAATGAATATCTACAAAGCCAGAGTAGAGTTAGTGAAAATAAATTCAAAAATTAAATCAACAAAAATTGTAATACACGTAAAGTTGCTTGAAGAAAAATCTGTGATGTGGCAACTGAGTAGAAAAACATAAACAATAGGCCAGCACTGCATTTTTTCCCGGAAAAATTTCAGTTTCATATATACTGAAAAAATAAGGTCCGATCGAGAGTCGAACCCCAAAACTTAGGGCGCAAATGACTTCACATTATCTCCACGCCACGCGAGAAATGGACTGGGTTTAGTAAGGTCTCAAAAACAAAACAAGTTCTATTTCTAACAGAATTTTAAGAAAGATTGTATAATTATAAAGGGAAAAAAGTCTAGTTCCCGACTACAAGACTATTGCTCTCGCAAGTGTAGAGAGACTAAAACTTAAAATAGCTTTCGCCTCTCATTTCTCCGCACTTCTCGTATATCCACCTCGACTATGGTATTCGAGTTGGGATATTTCGCTTATATTACTCTCAGCATTATATGAAAAGCAACAGTTGATAAGTTAATTGAGACGCCCATATATATCGGAAAATAAGATGAATAAAAACTTGGTTTTCTATCGGAACAAAAATCTGAACTGTCATATCATCCAACCAAACTAAGATACTTTATTTACACTTAAAACTAGCACCGCAAACTAGGTAACAATCTGAAGTCACTCAAAATCTAAACTAATTCTCCTGCCTTAAGCGCGACGTCTGGGTCTGATTGCCATTTAACACGAAACTGTAATGTTAGTGCAAACTCTTTCAAACAAAGAGCCAAAATGGCATTTGCATATTTATGCGCGCAAGCATAGCCTTTTAGATGATCGACTGACTTCTCAAAGCATATCGAAAAACGCTGGTACCATTGGAAAATGTTTGAAATTATTGCATCAAAATCTAACTTGCGTATAACTTAATCTCGAAGGTGACAGTTGCTTAAATATATGAAAGAAATTAAAATAACAAAATTTAAGGTAACCGTAAAAACGGGGCCATCCAACAATGCTTTCAATTTCATAACAAGGAAGATTTTAGAAGTAATTCAACTTTAGGGATCCTTTGAACTAAAATAGTGTCATATCACCAAAAAAAAAAGAGTTTCAGATCTTCGCATTTTCAACTCATATTCTTCTTGAAGGGCGACCAACCTTGAGGGGTTGAAAACCAACCAGTCATTGCTTTTTACGAAGCGCAGACTATTCTCTTAACTGTTGATTTCATAGCGAGTTGTTTTATTAGGTCAATTAGGAAGCCATAAAAGATTTTAATGGCTTAACTAAACCAATGCCAATTATACAATAAAACAAAACTATTTCGGGAACATTAAAACATAGCCAACAGACAGTTGTATAAGAGTCATGAACAGGAGAAAACTTGAAAAGAAAACAAAAACCAAACACAGTTAAATCAGACTCGAGATAACTTTTAAGAAACTTAATCTTGGCAAAGGATTTTATCCCACTCATGGCACGTATCCTTAAGATAGATAAAACACAACATAGTCAACAGACTAATTAAAAAGTCAATGGCCTCGAAAAAACCAAAACAAATGATGACTTTTTCTGAATACTTTTAAATTATCGAATGTGGAAGAAAAAATTTTCAGATTCAAGCTCGTAGAAAAAAAATTTAATAAACAAGGTTGATTCTGTTAATATAAAAATGGCTTTTATTCCGCTGGGAAATATCAAATTTACACCAAGGCGAAGCAGCACTTTGCAAGCACAAGCGATAAAACGTCGAAAAGAACCAGCAAAATGTTTAAAACAGCCAACTGACAGTTCGAAGAGTAATGAACGCAAGAGAACAAAAAACACTGACTTTGCAAAAAAATGTCAATTTTCGAATTGTTGCTCGAATTTCTAGAGCAAATTATGATTGGTTTTTTTACAAAATTAACCCATCTCGAGCGAACTGGATCAATAGGTAAAGTTTTTATTCCGCTGAAAGTCTAAAAATTTAAATTCCACTTTCGAAACTAGAAATTGTTCACGTTTGTTTGCGCCATTTCCACGTTCGTATTTGGAGTGTGTTATTTACGTAAATTTCAGCAGAGCATTTTTACTGAACTCAAAAAGTGCATATATACCTAAGTGCATCCATAAATGCATTAATATGTATATGAATCTGTAGTTGTTTGAGCATTTTAAGACTTTTTCCTGGAACAAAAAAAAACAAAAAAAAATCACCAATATCTCTTCAAAAGTCTTTACTACGTTCATTACTCTTAAAAACTGAAATAAGGAGAGAAAATGTACAAAATCGAAAAACTTTGTCTTTTGTAGGAATCGAACCCACGAATTGGAGATTAGTATTCTCATGTTCTCGCATCTGCAAGTTCAAATCATCAATTTCAAAAAATGCTGAGCCAACTCAGTTCGCGTTCACGCTCAAAATCTTAGCAGAATAAAATTGTAAGGAGACAATTAATTTATATCCACAAAATATCAGCACCAAAACGAATTACTATTACCCTAAAACAATTCCACCATGCAAAAAGAAATTAAACTTCCAAATCTAATCCAAATTCTTTAAACTGAAATCAGTTGCAAGTTACTTTTCATTTGGCAACAAAAAGTTTTTCTCGATGCATTCAAATACAGGCGGAACTAAGCTATCTTTGTCAAATGCGTCGGAGTTTTCAGCAAACGTTGAATGACATTCAAATTTCACACTTGAGTTTAATTTATCTCTGATTTTGTGAATCAGTGTGTTGAACACGCTCGGTAAAATTGGTCCATTGTAAATTTCGAACGAATACTCTTTACGCCTTTCTTTAACATCTTTGAAGTTCGCCTTGTAATCTTTAACTTTCAAGTTCAGCTGTTGGAGCGTGGCTCCTGAAAATGGCTTACAGGATAGAATAGTTGGGGGCAACCCTGCAAGAGCTCCACTTGAAGGTATCAACGATTTGAAATTCAGCAAAAAGTTGAAAAACTGGTGAACAGAATCCGAGCTAATTACGATCGCAGATTGCTTAGTATAATCGTATTTATTCTCGTTTTCAAAAGATTGTGTCGATTTCTGAGATGAGACTTGAACTTTTTCACAGCCCAGTACGTTGAGCCAGTCCTGACACGAAGCTTGGTCTTGTAGCAAATCTTCAGGATCCTCACGCGAACAATCAAGGTCATTCGTATTACTTTCAAAGCAATCATTTTCTTCCAATTTCCCTTCACTTGAAAATGACGCCTCTTTTAGATTCGTAGCAGATGAACATGCACGTAAAGGCTCGAGTTTCTGACCTGATACCATATCATCCAAATACGGCTTCGAAAATTTGATTTTTTGCTTGAACAACGTATCGCGGAATCCGTTCGTGGTCGGTACAATGTGGATTTTAATCGGAACGTTTTTGGAGTTCAAATTACCCTGCGACTCACGACAAAAGCTTTCGAAACACATTGTCATATTAGAAGAACACAAAAAGAACAATTCTAAGTTACCACTGCGTAGCAAATCATAGGCACTTTGGAAGCTAACATTCCATGCTGAGAAGATGTCATTATTAAGAGCATCGGTTAAAAACGACGTGTTTTGGGCATCTTTGACTGCCGCTTTAGAGGTGTAGCGGGGAAAAAGTTTCAGCCATGGTATGTACGGGTGCATCCAGTAAGCGCAGTGGTCGGCCAGTTCTCGATCTGATTCCAAACTAACGTCCAGACATGGTTCCAAGACATGTGTCGCCTTTTTCAGGTGATATAAACTACTTGCAGATATAATTTTAACTTTGCTTCTCAAAGTGAGATGTCTCGGTAATCGTTCAACTGTTCTGTATGTCTTCGCTGCATTTTGATCCAGTTTAGAATCGCTCCTTTTGTATACAAACTGCTGACATGAAACAGGTAAAGAGTATACAGGCTGTGAACTGACGTCACTACTAAAAGAGACACGGTTCTTCCGTTCGGCTTTTGGCGACTCGTCGTCAAATAAACTCGGCGATGTCGGCGGCCTGAGACTCGGATCTTCAGGTACTTCTAATTGCGCTTCTTGTCCGGTCAAATTTTTATCTCTTGTTTTTAAATCATCAGCTGTGTTTGATAATCCATAAGCTTCGTCACAATGTCTTTTCGTGTTTGATGAAAGACAACTGAACGGGTTTTTACGCTTTGTCGCAATTTTTGTGAACCCTGCAGCTGGCTGACTATTCGAAAAGTTCGAATCATTTTCTTTTTCGGGTTCGGAGGAAATAAACTGAGAAGTCTGAGATTGGAAAACGACGAGGTTCGATTTGACTTTCGGGTTGCGAACTTTGAAGCGCCTGTTTTTCCAGCTGGGTGAGTAAAGGAAACGCTTAGGTGATTTGCCTGGCGTAATTGATTTTTTAAAAGCCGGCGAGAAAGAATTCTTTTCAGGAGTAGTCATATTCAACAATGACAAACCAACAAACCTGAAAAAAAAACGAACTATAATCACAAAAAAACTAAAATGGCAAATCGAAGTAAAAACTAAAAAAACAGTGAAACCCCATTTTCAGGGGGATTTTCTAAAATTTATCTAAGACTTTGTAAACCTTATTTTAGTCCGACAAATTGATTTTCCGAGCGCTCCAGGAACGCTTATGATAAACACAGGTCAAACAAGACGTTAGGGGCACATTTTGGAACGTTTTTATCAAAAAAATCTCTGCTCTCTAAGTCCCATCAATGGCGCTTTAACAAAAATTTACGGTCGGTCAACCAAAAATGGATGTCGTAAAGTAATATCAAAGGGCTCTTTGGGTGGTAAATCCTCACCTGTACAGTCAGGGGCGGATCTAGGATTTTCTCGAGGGGGGGCGGATTTTCGAAAAATTTAGACGACCTTTTTTTTTTTAGGTCGACCAAATTGATTTTTCGAGCTCTCCCAAAGCACTGTTTTGCCCCTATTTTGGCAAAATTTTGTGCGCCGCAGGCAAATTTTTGAAAAAACAGTCAAAAAAGCCGTTTTTAGGCACTTTTTGAAAAATTTTGACAAAAAAATTGCGTTTTTTTTGGCGCGCGCTCCCCCTCAAAGTTAGAAAAATTTTAGGTCCGCCCCCCCCCCCTAAATCCGCCCCTGTGTACAGTAGTGCTATTCAATTGTGAAAAATCTTGAGGAATAAAAAAAACTGGAAGACTCTTTTAACCGAACGCTATAATTCTCGGGTAGTTATATCTGGATGTTTCTATAACAATGCAATATCTTTTAATGCTGATATTCTCGTTTTTTTGGTCATTTTGCATCATCGATCAAAGAACAACAATTCTAATATTTCGGTCAAAGAACACCAATTCTTTATTTTTACGGCAAATTTAGCAGAATAATTTCTACTGCTGTGATCAGAAAAGAGCGACTGATTTTTTTTGAGCGGGGGGTGTTGGGGGGTTTGGCGTGGTGAAGGGGAGATTGGAAGTCTCTTGGAAACATTTTTGCAGACCTTTTTTAGGTCAACCAGTTCAATTTTTGAGAGCTCCGCCGAAATATTAGAATGACCACATCTGTTGAAATAACTTTTTGGAATGAAATCCTAGTTCTGAGCAATTTTTGAAGTATTTTCAAATAAAAATGCTTTTTCAAGCACGCTCTAGTCTCAAGTTTTTGAAGAAAAAACTTTTTGATGTACTTCGATGATTTTACATCTCAACTTTTTTGCTTTTCTCAAACGTGACCATCCTAAAAAACTTCGCTATGCAGAAGACAAACATGGTTATTTCTGCGTCAGCTCACAAAAAGACAAACATGAGAAAAACATTGTTTAATGGGTTAAAAAACCGCTTCGAATATTATTTCCGGCAAAACTCATTCTTCTGAATATGCCTCGGATTGATCTCTCAGCCTTATGTTCATAAATATAAATTACTCATATTTGGCTTCAATGTAGTAATTTCTGAAAAACAATAGGTGAATGTTTCCATTTATTCAACCAAAATCAGTGCCCACACTTCCCGTTATGGAGCTCCCCAAGCTCCGCTGTTTGATACAAAGCTCCTTGTACACTCCCTCCATCTGCAAAGAAACATCAAGTATTGCTTGAGTTGTGAAATTCTTCAAGTATCGAGAACAAGTTCACCTCAAGATAGCTCTACAAGATGGCTTTCAAGTTTTTTGATAAACACAGGTCAAACAAGACGTTAGGGGCACATTTTGGAACGTTTTTATCAAAAAAATCTCTGCTCTCTAAGTCCCATCAATGGCGCTTTAACAAAAATTTACGGTCGGTCAACCAAAAATGGATGTCGTAAAGTAATATCAAAGGGCTCTTTGGGTGGTAAATCCTCACCTGTACAGTCAGGGGCGGATCTAGGATTTTCTCGAGGGGGGGGGCGGATTTTCGAAAAATTTAGACGACCTTTTTTTTTTTTAGGTCGACCAAATTGATTTTTCGAGCTCTCCCAAAGCACTGTTTTGCCCCTATTTTGGCAAAATTTTGTGCGCCGCAGGCAAATTTTTGAAAAAACAGTCAAAAAAGCCGTTTTTAGGCACTTTTTGAAAAATTTTGACAAAAAAATTGCGTTTTTTTTGGCGCGCGCTCCCCCTCAAAGTTAGAAAAATTTTAGGGTCGGTCCGCCAAAAATGGATTTCTGAAAAAGTATCAAAGGGGGGACCCTTTGGGTCGGCAGGGGGTCGAATCCCTGAGAGGGGGGCGTCCGCCCCCCCCCCCCCTAAATCCGCCCCTGTGTACAGTAGTGCTATTCAATTGTGAAAAATCTTGAGGAATAAAAAAAACTGGAAGACTCTTTTAACCGAACGCTATAATTCTCGGGTAGTTATATCTGGATGTTTCTATAACAATGCAATATCTTTTAATGCTGATATTCTCGTTTTTTTGGTCATTTTGCATCATCGATCAAAGAACAACAATTCTAATATTTCGGTCAAAGAACAACAATTCTTTATTTTTACGGCAAATTTAGCAGAATAATTTCTACTGCTGTGATCAGAAAAGAGCGACTGATTTTTTTTGAGCGGGGGGTGTTGGGGGGTTTGGCGTGGTGAAGGGGAGATTGGAAGTCTCTTGGAAACATTTTTGCAGACCTTTTTTAGGTCAACCAGTTCAATTTTTGAGAGCTCCGCCGAAATATTAGAATGACCACATCTGTTGAAATAACTTTTTGGAATGAAATCCTAGTTCTGAGCAATTTTTGAAGTATTTTCAAATAAAAATGCTTTTTCAAGCACGCTCTAGTCTCAAGTTTTTGAAGAAAAAACTTTTTGATGTACTTCGATGATTTTACATCTCAACTTTTTTGCTTTTCTCAAACGTGACCATCCTAAAAAACTTCGCTATGCAGAAGACAAACATGGTTATTTCTGCGTCAGCTCACAAAAAGACAAACATGAGAAAAACATTGTTTGATGGGTTAAAAAACCGCTTCGAATATTATTTCCGGCAAAACTCATTCTTCTGAATATGCCTCGGATTGATCTCTCAGCCTTATGTTCATAAATATAAATTACTCATATTTGGCTTCAATGTAGTAAGTTCTGAAAAACAATAGGTGAATGTTTCCATTTATTCAACCAAAATCAGTGCCCACACTTCCCGTTATGGAGCTCCCCAAGCTCCGCTGTTTGATACAAAGCTCCTTGTACACTCCCTCCATCTGCAAAGAAACATCAAGTATTGCTTGAGTTGTGAAATTCTTCAAGTATCGAGAACAAGTTCACCTCAAGATAGCTCTACAAGATGGCTTTCAAGTTTTTAGAATAAATTTCTCAAACACGCATTCATGAAAGCCCATTTTTCAAATTTTTCAGGATAAAACGCAGATAATGTTTTTCATTAACAATTTTTTTAAAATTCTGGTATATGAGTTTTGGCATTTTAACCGCATAAGAGGGAAGTTGAAATTTACATTTGGCTTTTTAAAAGTTGTATTGTTATCCAACTTTTTCTTGATTGTTTTCTTATTTGGTGTCTCTCCCTCCCCTTATAGCACACTTAGTCCCATACTTCTTACGTCCTTCAGTTACCATCCCCCTACACTCTTAACCCCATTCCCTACCGCTTACACGCATACAAAAGGGTTATGAGTGCCCCCAAACTTACGTGGTGTAATTTAAGTGTTATTGTTGGTGTTGCTGGAGGGATGTGGTAGGAGTGGAGGAAGATATGAGAGAATGTTCAATAAGGGGGTGTAATTATTCAGAAAAGGGGCGTTCAAAGAGCGAGGTGAAGCCGTTTTGCAAAATTTAAGTATGGGGAGTTGGTTTAGAAATCGAGTAGGCGGTAAGTAATGCGGAAAAACTTAATAGATCATTAATCATTGAAATCATCTATAATCGATTATAAATTAATATAATTTTTTTTAATTTTGAAAAAAAATTATTCAGAAAAGGGGCGTTCAAAGAGCGAGGTGAAGCCGTTTTGCAAAATTTAAGTATCGGGAGTTGGTTTAGAAATCGAGTAGGCGGTAAGTAATGCGGAAAAATTTAAAAAGATCATTATTCATTGAAATCATCTATAATCGATTATAAATGAATAATTATGGTTTTAGTAACAATTTACTTTAAGAATTATTGCCTGTATCATTTCAGCCTCTCGCTGAAATTTTTAAATAAATGTTCAAATGAAGCCATTTTTCCGGATAGTCTTAAGTATTGGCAAAATCCATGACTTTACATAAATATGGCAATGCAAAATGTAGAGTATAGATGCAAATAAAACGTGAGTATAAATGCATATAAATTAAGCACAGTGCATATAAAATAAGCAGTGCATATAAAATAAGCACAGTGCATATAAAATAAGCACACCGACCGGTTCTTGTGGCTAGCTTGCGCCACCAAATGATCTTACAAAAAACGAGTTGTACCGAAACAATCGGAAGTTGATTTTGTGATCTTGATTATGCAAACCGTTTACAGTTGCTTATTTCTTGTTATGTGTGGTGTGTTTACCGAAAATACCCATTATTAAATATGTTTAATACAGTTTTTTCAGAGATTGAGCGCACATTTTGGCGCCCAACGTGGGGCCGATTGTTCTATTAACGAGTGACACCGAAGTCTATTTTTCACGAAGTCGGTCGACACAATTATTCACGACTTATCGGACAGTTATTAACGCATTTGCACAAAGGACCGAAGACCGAAACAGAGTGACCGAGTGTCAAGTTGGCCGAGTGTCCAGTTGGCCCCGAGTGTCTAGTTGGCCGATTGTCCAGCTGGCCGAGCGTCTAGTTGGCCGATTGCCGATTATCCAGTTGGCCGATTGTCCAGTTGGCCGAGTGTCCAGTTGGTCGAGTGTCCAAATAGCCGAAAGTTGTCTGTAAGCCAACAGACGACAAAGCAGACAGACGAAATAACAGACTGGCGAAAGAGAGGCTTGTTCAGGTGCCCGGATTGTTGACTTTTGGTTCAAGTGCAGCTGTGTTTTTCTCGACACCCGAAGTTTTTGGATTTTTTTTCCCGGTGACGCCAAT